TATGGGAGGGTTGCAAGAAAAAAGCCACTCCTCAAGAAAGGCCACATGCAGTCACGACTGAGCTTTGTCAAAACACACTGACATTCTGAGGCCACATGGAAAAAGGTTATGGTCAGATGAGACTAAAATTGAATCTGGCCTCAACAACCAAATGATATGTCTGGCAGAATTCCAATACAGCTCACCATGCAAATAACAGCATTCCTACAGTAAAGCATGGAGGTGGTGATATCCTGTTCTGGGGGTGTTTCTCTGCAGCAGCGACTGGAGCAATCGTCAGGATAGAAGGAAAAATGGATGGAGCAAATTCCGTCCAATTCTTAACTTCTGCTAAAAAGTTGTCAATGGGAAGAAGGTTTACCTTCCAACATGACAATGACCCAAAGCACACAGCAGAACTGAGCACACAGTGGTTGAAGGAGAAAAAGGTGAATGTCCTTGCATGGCCTAGTCAGAGCCCAGTCTTAAACCCCACTGAATATCTGTAGAATGACTTGAAGACTGCAGTCCACCAACCGTCACCATCAAATTTAACTGAACTTGAGCAGTTCTGCAAAGAAGAGTGGGCAAATATTGATTAAAGTCTCTACAAAGTTAGTAGAGACAGATCCCATCAGACTAAAGGCTGTAATTAAAGCAAAAGGTGGTTCAGCAAAATACTGACACAAGTGGGTGATCCTTCTTCCAACTCAGTGATTTTTCCCCCCTTACATGTTGGTTATATATATATCTTTCACTTGGATGTTATAAGTTGCACTTAGTAAATACAGCATCATCTTCATTTCAGGCTGCAAAGCATCAAAATGTGATTATTTTAAAGGGGGGTGATTCTTTTCTGTACCCACTCTGTGTGTGTGTATATATAAACCGCTTAATTACAAGGAACTGTCTAAAAATATGTAACTGTAATTTGTGTCTAATTTGTCACAAAAAAAAAAAAAAAACTCAAGTAAGCGCATTTCTAGCAAATCCTAATTAACCCTGAAGAAAACCAAACACTAAGACCCATTTATTGAAGGCTAAATAATTAATGCGTGAGGAAAACAAACAAACAAATGCTAAGTTCGATGCTGAAACGGCCGTTTCATAAAACTTTATTATTATATTGTTATTTGTGGTTTATCAGCCGTGTCTGACCGGACGCTGATGGATACAGTGGGTACAGAAAAGAAAATGTTTTATCCAGCTGTATTTACTCAGTGCAACTTATAACATCCAAATGAAAGATATAACACCAACATGTCTGAAAAAAATTAATAAAAAAACAGAATGACCGAGTTGGAAAAAGGATCTGGTACAACACAGACCCTCCCTGGATCAGGACGTCGCTCCAAACTGGATGAAAGAGCAGGGAGGAAACTGGTCAGGGAGGAGACCAAGAGGGTATGGGAGGGTTGTAAGAAAAAAGCCACTCCTCAAGAAAGGTCACAGGCAGTCACAACTGAGCTTTGCCAAAACGGACCTTTAAGATTCTGAGGCAGATGAAAATAAAATTGAATTATTTGGCCTCAACACCAAACTATATGTCTGGCGGAAATCCAATACAGCTCACCATGCAAATAACAGCATTCCTACAGTAAAGCATGGAGGTGGTGATATCCTGTTCTGGGGGTGTTTCTCTGCAGCAGCGACTGGAGCAATCGTCAGGATAGAAGGAAAAATGGATGGAGCAAATTCCGTCCAATTCTTAACTTCTGCTAAAAAGTTGTCAATGGGAAGAAGGTTTACCTTCCAACATGACAATGACCCAAAGCACACAGCAGAACTGAGCACACAGTGGTTGAAGGAGAAAAAGGTGAATGTCCTTGCATGGCCTAGTCAGAGCCCAGTCTTAAACCCCACTGAATATCTGTAGAATGACTTGAAGACTGCAGTCCACCAACCGTCACCATCAAATTTAACTGAACTTGAGCAGTTCTGCAAAGAAGAGTGGGCAAATATTGATTAAAGTCTCTACAAAGTTAGTAGAGACAGATCCCATCAGACTAAAGGCTGTAATTAAAGCAAAAGGTGGTTCAGCAAAATACTGACACAAGTGGGTGATCCTTCTTCCAACTCAGTGATTTTTCCCCCCTTACATGTTGGTTATATATATATCTTTCACTTGGATGTTATAAGTTGCACTTAGTAAATACAGCATCATCTTCATTTCAGGCTGCAAAGCATCAAAATGTGATTATTTTAAAGGGGGGTGATTCTTTTCTGTACCCACTCTGTGTGTGTGTATATATAAACCGCTTAATTACAAGGAACTGTCTAAAAATATGTAACTGTAATTTGTGTCTTATTTTTGGAAGGTGAGGAAAGCCCATCACTTCCTGAGATGTCTTTTCAGAATCCCCACATTGCACAGATGACGGAAGGTACTGACGGTTGCGGAGACCATCATGTACCTAGAAACCTCAGTCAAGGTACCTCTTGTACTTAACCATGTGACAGTATGTCTCTGCTCAGAGAACTTCCTTTCTGAATTCCCCCAACTCCTTTGAAGCTGGATCTTTTGTTCAGCAAACTTGAACCTTAAAGTAAGCAGAATTAGTGTGCAAGTAAAACAAAATAATTCTTTCTTTTTTAAATTTTAGAAACAGATAACAGCAGCACAGCATCAGAGGCATCGTACGTTAATGTACCACCTACAATAGAGAGGGAGGACCATTCTGCTGCATCTTCAGAGAGCGACTATGATGAACCTGGAACCTGGTGAAATCAACATGACTGCAAGAGATTTTTCTCAGCAGGTAAAGTATTAAAACAGTCAAAAACACACAAAACATCATTCTTTTAATTCTTCATTCTCTTTATACTGTGGACAATGATGTGCATTTTTTATTTAGGACAGAAAAGTTGTCAATGGGAAGAAGGTTTACCTTCCAACATGACAATGACCCAAAGCACACAGCAGAACTGAGCACACAGTGGTTGAAGGAGAAAAAGGTGAATGTCCTTGCATGGCCTAGTCAGAGCCCAGTCTTAAACCCCACTGAATATCTGTAGAATGACTTGAAGACTGCAGTCCACCAACCGTCACCATCAAATTTAACTGAACTTGAGCAGTTCTGCAAAGAAGAGTGGGCAAATATTGATTAAAGTCTCTACAAAGTTAGTAGAGACAGATCCCATCAGACTAAAGGCTGTAATTAAAGCAAAAGGTGGTTCAGCAAAATACTGACACAAGTGGGTGATCCTTCTTCCAACTCAGTGATTTTCCCCCCCTTACATGTTGGTTATATATATATCTTTCACTTGGATGTTATAAGTTGCACTTAGTAAATACAGCATCATCTTCATTTCAGGAGTGGGTACAGAAAAGAAAATGTTTTATCCAGCTGTATTTACTCAGTGCAACTTATAACATCCAAATGAAAGATATAACACCAACATGTCTGAAAAAAATTAATAAAAAAACAGAATGACCGAGTTGGAAAAAGGATCTGGTACAACACAGACCCTCCCTGGATCAGGACGTCGCTCCAAACTGGATGAAAGAGCAGGGAGGAAACTGGTCAGGGAGGAGACCAAGAGGGTATGGGAGGGTTGTAAGAAAAAAGCCACTCCTCAAGAAAGGCCACATGCAGTCACGACTGAGCTTTGTCAAAACACACTGACATTCTGAGGCCACATGGAAAAAGGTTATGGTCAGATGAGACTAAAATTGAATCTGGCCTCAACAACCAAATGATATGTCTGGCAGAATTCCAATACAGCTCACCATGCAAATAACAGCATTCCTACAGTAAAGCATGGAGGTGGTGATATCCTGTTCTGGGGGTGTTTCTCTGCAGCAGCGACTGGAGCAATCGTCAGGATAGAAGGAAAAATGGATGGAGCAAATTCCGTCCAATTCTTAACTTCTGCTAAAAAGTTGTCAATGGGAAGAAGGTTTACCTTCCAACATGACAATGACCCAAAGCACACAGCAGAACTGAGCACACAGTGGTTGAAGGAGAAAAAGGTGAATGTCCTTGCATGGCCTAGTCAGAGCCCAGTCTTAAACCCCACTGAATATCTGTAGAATGACTTGAAGACTGCAGTCCACCAACCGTCACCATCAAATTTAACTGAACTTGAGCAGTTCTGCAAAGAAGAGTGGGCAAATATTGATTAAAGTCTCTACAAAGTTAGTAGAGACAGATCCCATCAGACTAAAGGCTGTAATTAAAGCAAAAGGTGGTTCAGCAAAATACTGACACAAGTGGGTGATCCTTCTTCCAACTCAGTGATTTTCCCCCCCTTACATGTTGGTTATATATATCTTTCACTTGGATGTTATAAGTTGCACTGAGTAAATACAGCATTATCTTCATTTCAGGCTGCAAAGCATCAAAATGTGATTATTTTAAAGGGGGGTGATTCTTTTCTGTACCCACTCTGTGTGTGTGTATATATAAACCGCTTAATTACAAGGAACTGTCTAAAAATATGTAACTGTAATTTGTGTCTTATTTTTGGAAGGTGAGGAAAGCCCATCACTTCCTGAGATGTCTTTTCAGAATCCCCACATTGCACAGATGACGGAAGGTACTGACGGTTGCGGAGACCATCATGTACCTAGAAACCTCAGTCAAGGTACCTCTTGTACTTAACCATGTGACAGTATGTCTCTGCTCAGAGAACTTCCTTTCTGAATTCCCCCAACTCCTTTGAAGCTGGATCTTTTGTTCAGCAAACTTGAACCTTAAAGTAAGCAGAATTCAAGTGCAAGTAAAACAAAATAATTCTTTCTTTCTTTTTTAAATTTTAGAAACAGATAACAGCAGCACAGCATCAGAGGCATCGTACGTTAATGTACCACCTACAATAGAGAGGGAGGACCATTCTGCTGCATCTTCAGAGAGCGACTATGATGAACCTGGAACCTGGTGAAATCAACATGACTGCAAGAGATTTTTCTCAGCAGGTAAAGTATTAAAACAGTCAAAAACACACAAAACATCATTCTTTTAATTCTTCATTCTCTTTATACTGTGGACAATGATGTGCATTTTTTATTTAGGACAGATGATTCACAACAACACGTGCCTGAAAACCATGGAATGTAACACAGACGGGCCCTTGCAATACCTGAGTGTTTGTTAAGAATATTCTGGAAGAACAACAACAAAAAATTGACATTGTTCGTCTATTTTATAATAAACATTCTAAACAATTAACCATTCTATTATTAACCTCACAGATGGATCCAATCTAATTTTTTTTTAACTCTCAATTGTGCAAAATGTCTAAAAATTTGCATGTGTATTTAGAATATTTGCATATGTTACAGTCTTTCATTAATCAAAATAATAGTCTACACAATATAAATCAGCCACAGTGCTTCATCATTGTAAGGGAGAATGTGGCGTCGACAAAGACACTCACAATTACTTCACACACACAAAAAACCACACTCAGCGAAGAACACAAAACTTATTTTTGTTGTCCAGCCCCACAAACCGCACAAAGCTAATTTTGAAAATGGCCAGCATTCTCTTTTGTGAGGAGAGAGCATGCAACACTTGCTTGTGGACACAGATAAGATTTCAGAGAACTGTCGCAGACTTGTGTTCATTCTTTGTGTTTGCCGCAAACCCACTTTAGCTGCTGTTGTTCCCTCAGGTCTGAGAGCATCAGGGTCGAGTGCCAGCTACATTGACAGGCGTACGCACGCCCACCCCTTTTCCTTCTTAGTTTGGCTTTTAGTTTGTGATAGTCCGGCATGTTATTCCTAAAAGACGGGGACAGAAGAGAAGCTTTGTGAGGATTTGAATATATTTCTGTACTTGTAGTTCACAGATGTCCAGTTCAACCCAGAGCGCTCCTTCACACAGTTGGCTCACTGCTTTGGTTTATCTCTTGAACTTTCACCAACTGCAAACCTCATTTTTTGTATACTTACAACCCATTCTGTAGAACAAATTATAAAAACTATTATCTTGTATGTGGGTCTGCTTCTCTCAAAACGTCAAACTGGTGCTGGATGTTTTGATTGAGCAAACATATAAGAAAATTCTAAAGTCCTCTGGTTACCATGGACTCATTTCACCCTAGGAAATAAAAAAAACTAAAATAATAAAAAGAATTATATAAAATATTTAAGCCTTTTTTTCCCCCACAATAATAAAGCACATTTCTAGCCCTACTTTAAGGACCAAATAGGAAGCTGTTTTTTTAAAATAGATTTCTAGGATTTTTTTTTTTACAACGAACCTGGATTTTAATACAAGAGCCATTAGTATGAAAACCCAATGCACATAAGAAAGCTCTAAGGTATTGTGGTTACCATGAAAGTTTCCAGGTCCCATTTCACCCCACTAACCTAATAATAATAATAATATGAAAACAATAAGTGTAACAATAATAAAAATAAATAAAAAAAATTATATTTTGCACAAAAAAGAAAGCCTATTTTATGGACCATTTTTATTTACATTTGTAGGATTAAAAAATAAATAAAAAATCCCCCCCCCCCTTTAAGTCTTTTGCAGACAGTCTGCATCTATTGTAAATGGTTAAAAACTCCTGATATGGACTGTCAACCATAAAATATTTGGAAGAAATTATATTTCAGAAGTATAAAGGTTTCTTTCCATGCTATTCCATCTTTTACTTTAAACTACAGCAAGTAATACAAGCAATATATGCAGCTACAATCCTGAACAGATAGTTTCTTGATGAGCTGATTTATCACCCGTTTAAAAGCGGAAGTTTCAAGTTCAAGTTTCTAAAGCTTCATTGACAAATTCCAAACACATTCTCTCCTAATTAAAGTTGCAAGCTTGAACATCATTAAAATACAAAGACCCTTGAACTTGAGAACTTGGCTGTGTCTGAGCACTCAGCAAAGTGCATCACGGCCTAAATATGGAAGAAAACAACATAAAAGACATAGTGCAAATGATTCACTGTCTGTTTGATGCTAAAGTTGAGTGAGACGCTGCAAGACACAGCGCTGAAGATAATAAGGAAATGACGCAGTCCGGCGGAAAACAGGGTTCGCATTAAAATGCTTGCATGTTGTGTTGTTGAACACTTGTCCAAAAGTGTTTCTTTACCAGCATGTACAAATTTAATAAAGCTTATCTGTAAGAAGGCAACATGATGCCTAACAAAGACATAATTAACTGAACGTGCTGATGCTGTGCAAAGACCAGCTTGCCTGAGGCAGTCTAAGAATATCAGTGAATTGATAATGAATGAACAAACTGCTTCATCTGCTACAGTGGGATACATGGATCAATGCTGCCCTCTCCTGATCAAATGATGTTCTCTCCTGATATGTTTGCTCATACCTCACCTGAAAAATAAGTAGTCACAGGAGGAGTCCCACTCGTGATCCTCAAACATGATTACGCTGAAATCGCAAGACGTACATCTTAAATGGTTGCAGGCCCTTCAAGAACAAGACACAGTTACAGACACAGAATACATTTGCACATCTAAGTGACTATCATGACCAATATTGTGGTCATTAGAATATGCATGTGGCCCTCAAGTCCAGGCAAGATTGATTCTAAATTCATTTTCACCTTTGAGAAACGCTGGTTCCAACACCGTGAGGTACAGAGCTTCCACCAAGAAACACTGGACAGCATCTGTTTGCAGAAAAAGTGACAGTGTTTCATGAAAGGCTCAATTTCTCCTGTAGAACTTCTAAAGGCATATTTGGATGTTTCAATGCAAACTAAAAACGTACTTCTTGGACATTGTCTGAGAACATGAATCACTTGTGGAAGTCTTGTCTGCAGTGGGTTCCTGTTAGTTCACAAGAGTTTACAGATGATTAATGTGCACTGTAAAAAACAACAACTGGCAATATTAAACTGAAAAAAATATATATTTACAGTGAACAGTATCTTTATCTTGTTCAATGATCATGACAAGGTTTTGTCCAGTTATTTGACTTACATGAGTGCTGATGGGTTGATAATCCTCATCCAGTATTTCCTGCAGCATAGCGTCAATATCATCATTATCATGCTGAACTTTTTTGCCTTGTTGTTTTCTGGAAACAGTGGAAGTCGAAATGTCACGACTTTGTCTAGGCAGAATCTGGATTTGTTAAGATCTTGGAGACTGAACACTTGTCCAAAAGTGTTTCTTTACCAGCATGTACAAATTTAATAAAGCTTATCTGTAAGAAGGCAACATGATGCCTAACAAAGACATAATTAACTGAACGTGCTGATGCTGTGCAAAGACCAGCTTGCCTGAGGCAGTCTAAGAATATCAGTGAATTGATAATGAATGAACAAACTGCTTCATCTGCTACAGTGGGATACATGGATCAATGCTGCCCTCTCCTGATCAAATGATGTTCTCTCCTGATATGTTTGCTCATACCTCACCTGAAAAATAAGTAGTCACAGGAGGAGTCCCACTCGTGATCCTCAAACATGATTACGCTGAAATCGCAAGACGTACATCTTAAATGGGTGCAGGCCCTTCAAGAACAAGACACAGTTACAGACACAGAATACATTTGCACATCTAAGTGACTATCATGACCAATATTGTGGTCATTAGAATATGCATGTGGCCCTCAAGTCCAGGCAAGATTGATTCTAAATTCATTTTCACCTTTGAGAAACGCTGGTTCCAACACCGTGAGGTACAGAGCTTCCACCAAGAAACACTGGACAGCATCTGTTTGCAGAAAAAGTGACAGTGTTTCATGAAAGGCTCAATTTCTCCTGTAGAACTTCTAAAGGCATATTTGGATGTTTCAATGCAAACTAAAAACGTACTTCTTGGACATTGTCTGAGAACATGAATCACTTGTGGAAGTCTTGTCTGCAGTGGGTTCCTGTTAGTTCACAAGAGTTTACAGGTGATTAATGTGCACTGTAAAAAACAACAACAACTGGCAATATTAAACTGAAAAAAATATATATTTACAGTGAACAGTATCTTTATCTTGTTCAATGATCATGACAAGGTTTTGTCCAGTTATTTGACTTACATGAGTGCTGATGGGTTGATAATCCTCATCCAGTATTTCCTGCAGCATAGCGTCAATATCATCATTATCATGCTGAACTTTTTTGCCTTGTTGTTTTCTGGAAACAGTGGAAGTCGAAATGTCACGACTTTGTCTAGGCAGAATCTGGATTTGTTAAGATCTTGGAGACGATGTATACATTATAACAATGTGAGGCTGTTTTGTTAGCCTGTCTAAACCTTTTTAGGATTTTAGTCAGGCTGTTAACATACATTATGTACATCTACAACGCATCAACAGTGTTAGGCAATGACTGTATGCGCAAAGGTTTTAGTTTTAAAACAATTGGCTTATGTAACGTTAGCTACGTTAGCTCGGGTGCTAATCTCGCTAGCCTACTAAATTACCTTGACTGTTTCTTGTCCTCAGGATTCGCACATTTATGGTCCGTTTGGTTTAAAGCGTAAGTTGATCGTTTGGACGCAGACGTGCTACAACAAAACTTTGATTCGACTTCATCAAGTAAATCATCCAAATCATCCGCCATGATTATCCGGTGGAGAACGCTACGTTTGTTACCATAGAAACGATAATTTCTTTGCAGTCCGCTCAGAAATGAACCATATAAGTAGTCGAATTCTAAAAAAAATCAACGTGCTCTGGAGGCTGACCTGACGCTTTCGGTTTGCGTAAGGTTCTGAAAATAAAATAAAAAAAGCTTCGTTGTCGGCAGGATTCGAACCTGCGCGGGGAGACCCCAATGGATTTCTAGTCCATCGCCTTAACCACTCGGCCACGACAACTCGCATACTTACTGCTTACCGTTTCTTAGTATGAAGTACGCGTACTTGATAACGTCTCTCATCTCGCCTTGGATAATCCGGTTCACAATAAGACGAAATATGATATTAAACACCATTGCCTCTTTTCGTTGTCATTTAAACATATTAATAGCCACAAAAATGTAGTTCATGCAACGTGGACATACTTTGATTATCTTCACTCACTGTATACTTATAACAAAACGAAATATAAAACGCTACCATGCAATATAAAACACACACAAATACATGAAACATTAAAATGTGGTTCAGGCAATTATGTGCATATATATACTCTGATTATCTTCACTGTATAAATGTATGACATAAAACACTACGCTGCCTTTTTGTTAAATGTCAGCTTTAATGAACAATAATAGCCATTAAACGTATGAAATATAAGAGGCTTATACAATAGGAAATAAACACAAAAGCAAACAATTCAGTCAAATGAATGCTAACGTTACATCAGCGCTGTACGACGGTGAGATAAATAGCAGTGGTGTATAAAGTAGCCTACCTGAAAGCCATACTCGAGTAAAAGTACAGATATCTTACCAGAAAATGAATTTGGAAGAAGTTGAAGTCACCGTTTAGAATATTACTTGAGTAAAAGTCTTAAAGTATGTGATATTTATTGTACTCAAGTACGAAAAGTATTTTTTTAATCTTAAATGTAGCCTACTTAAGTATTGAAAGTAAAAGTACAAGTAAGTGCAAAATGGAAAAGAAGCAAATATATACACAAAATGTTCATACACATAGTAGCAAGATTGTGTTCAGTATGAACTCTTTCTTCCATTTTGTATTTTTGGGTAAGAATAAAAAGCACTTCATCCGGTACTAGTGTCTTTCATTCCAACATAAGAAAATATTTCTGGAATCTGCATCTGAAATAGCATTTAGATGTATTATTTACACAGTTTATGTATCGCAGAGGGGACATACATGCATTTAAACTGCAGTTACAGATGCATAAATAGGCCTAATGTTTTGTGTTTAACATAAAACATTGAATACTGATATTTGAAATAATTTAAAACATGACAAAAAATAGTAGAAATGTGAAATTAAAACCGCCAGTAGGTGACAGCAAGTGACTGTTAATGAGTCATTGAGATTCAACCGATTCATTCAAACGACTGATTCATTCAGAAACAAAGCATTCGACTGTGTTAATGAGTGAATCACTGAATCATTTATTCAACCGATTCGTTCAAA